TGTATGCTAATAAACAGTAGATGACCCTTAAAAAGATTAGAAGCTCCGTTCAGTCAGGTCAGTCCACCATAGTGCAGATATTCGTCTGAAGTGTACCTGGATATTTGCATATTAAGTATGTTAGGGGGCATAAAATACACTGCAATTTAACATTTGCCATAACACTGTGTATGAATGTGGGGGGAGTGTCTGAAAATGATTTCCTGTAAGGTAAGGCTTGGCAGAAGTCTTCCGCCCCACTCCCCTTTTTGTCTATTTTTAAAAACTGGTATATGTGGGATTACTTGACTTCATGATGATTTTTCTATCCTACCTGCTCTGGGACTGGATTTAGTTAAATTCTCATCTTTTTATACAGTGCCAAACCTTAAACACTTTGCAGATTTGCCTGATCATATTATTGCTGCATTTATGGTATTCCCTATAATTAATAAATAAAGAATACTCGGTAATGGCACCTAGATCCAAAGGCCAGTGAAATGTTTTAAAGGCAATTTAAAGCTATGAAAAATTATCTGATCTGTCTGTCTGATCTGATGTAAGTATTTCTAGGAAATGTGTCACTCTGGTATCTGCCTAAATCTGTTCTTACTGCATCCGTAGTTTAGTAAGATGTCTGTTGTAAAAGTGATGGTCTAAATAGTTAGTATAGAAATTGCTTTTTTAAAGATTGAAAACACTATGTTTTTGAGTGTTGCGGGTGCCAACTAGAAGGCTCATTTCTGAGAGGAAAGGGTGACACTTGGTAGTGTCAGTTGACAAATAACATGAACTTGTGAAGATTTCATAGACAACCAGAATAAATAACTCACTAACGATGCTATAGGTACAGCTGGAAAGGCAGCTACACTTATTTCAATCATCAGATAGACCAGTACATTTATAAATTAGCACATTTATTTGACTGTCTGATGCCTTATGATTTCACTGCTCTACAGCCAAAATGCTTCTGAAATAAATGTAGTCAAACTTTACTAATTCTGGGTCACTGAGAACGAAAATGATGTTTAAAATTGTTGATTGGCTCTAGTTTTCAAGATATGCTATTGGGTCAGTATATACGACCCTTGACTTGGGAATGGCGGTGGATAAGTGAGTTATAAAGGGAAGGGATCTCAATTTAAACCAGAAATGACTAAAATACATCTTTGACTGGATCTATGAATAAATCTATGACTGGGTTTGGACAGTACTTGCTTTTTAGGCAAAACAATGAATGATGCAATCTGAAGCTGGTATTGCGTCATACATGATATGAATTGCATCATGTTATTCCTAGAAGTCATGGATGATGCAATCATAACGAAGCTTACATCACTCTGCTGAACAAATTGCCCTATATCAGCTCTAGAAATCATACAGTGTCGTGCTCTGTTTTTGTCAGTGTTTGATTTTGCAAAGGGACACATTTCTGTTTAGCCAAAGTGAGCAGAGATGCCTCGTACTTGTGTGAACAGTGCAGATAACTTCTGCTATGTTTGTGGTGAAGTGACTTTTGCATCACAAAAGCGCAGTATAACCACTATGGTTAAGAAAGCCTATCACCTTTATTTTGGCTGCAAAATTGGAGATCAGGACAAGAGGTGGGCCCCACACATATGCTGCAACACTTGTGCAACAAATCTTCGCCAGTGGTTGAACAGGAAAAGGAAATGTATGCCGTTTGCAGTGCCAATGATTTGGAGAGAGCCAACAGATCATACCAGCAATTGTTACTTCTGCATGGTGCCTCCAGTTGGGAAAGGTGTGTCAAAGAAGAAAAAGTGGACTGTGCATTATCCAAACATTCCATCAGCTATACGCCCAGTACCCCACGGAGAAGGACTGCCGGTTCCTGATGCACCAGACTCATTCTCACTTGAGTCAGACGAGGAAGAGGAAGAGGATGAAACTTCTGGTCCTGAACCATCAATGTCACAGGACCCACATTTTCTCCCATCCTCCTCCTCTGAACCACACCTCATAACACAAGGTGAACTGAATGACCTTGTCAGGGATTTGGAACTACCCAAGAGTAAGGCAGAGCAGTTGGGCTCCAGACTACAGCAGTGGAATCTCCTGGCAGGTGATGTTAGGGTTTCCATGTTCCATGACTGTCAAAAGGATCTTGTCCCATTCTTCTTCATGGAAGGTGATCTGGTAGCCTGCAACAACATCGATGGTGTGATGGCAGCCCTCAACATCGTTCACGATCCAGATGAGTGGAGACTGTTCATTGATTCATCGAAGACGAGTTTTAAAGCTGTTTTACTGCATAATGGCAATGTTTTGCCATCAATTCCAGTTGGTCATGCAGTCCATATGAAGGAAACCTATGACAACATGAAACAACTTTTGAGGTGCATAAACTATGACCAACATCAGTGGCAGCTTTGTGGCTATTTGAAGGTTGTTGCTCTCTTGCTTGGTCTGCAGACTGGATACACAAAGTACTGCTGTTTTCTCTGCGAATGGGATAGTCGTGCAAGAGATTCCCACTACATCAAGAAAGATTGGCCACTCCGACAGTCATTGGAGCCTGGGAGGAAAAGTGTTCAGCATCCACCACTTATTGAATCAAGGAAGATTTTCTTACCACCCTTACACATCAAGCTGGGTCTGATGAAGAACTTTGTCAAGGCCATTGACAAAACACAAGCAGCTTTCAAGTACCTCCGTGGAAAATTTCCAAGGTTAAGTGAAGATAAGATAAAGGAAGGTGTCTTTGTTGGTCCTCAGATTCGTGAACTTCTTCGAGATGATGCATTTGACCATGCACTGCGTGGCAAGGAAAAGACGGCATGGAAAGCCTTCCAGTTAGTGGCAATACATTTTCTCGGAAACAACAAGGCAGACAACTACAGGTTGTTGGTGGAAAACCTCCTCAAGGCATACAAAAGCCTTGGTTGCAACATGTCACTAAAGATACATTTTTTGCACTCTCCTCTAGATTTTTTTCCACTGAACTGCGGAGCAGTGAGCGACGAGCACGGCGAGCGATTTCACCAGGACATTGCAACAATGGAGAAACGCTATCAGGGCAAATGGAGCCCATCAATGCTTGTGGAGACTATTGCTGGATAGTGACAAGAGATGCTCCATTTAATGAATACAAGAGACAAGCCAAGAAGCGCCGAGTAGACACTGAATAGGACTAAACTATGTACAGAATAGTTTTTTGCATTTTGTTTCATAATACATTTTATTTATATAACCCTTTTGCTGATTTTTAAAGTGTTACATAAGCAGGACAGGTGAAATATTATCATGTAAAGCAACCATAAACACATGAAAAGACCTAGGTTTACAATTTATGATTAAAACTCTACTATCTACACAATATACATAGACATAAAATGTAAAAACTTAAATATCTTAGAAACAGTAGCCAATCAGTTGTTTTAATTGTCATATTTGAATTCAGCACATCAAAATACATAATAAATAGCACATTTTATCTCTGAAGCAGACGACTTCTCAAAAATTGTAGACCAGTGTTTCCAGTGCATAGAAGAAAAATGTCATAAAACAGACAACCTTCTTCAATACATCAATTTTTCTTGAAATACATTCAGTTAAATACACTGGTGTCTTTTTTTCCCTTCATCTTTTAAAGGAAATAAATACAAACAAAACTGCATTAATGCAATATTCTGGTTAGATTTTAAGTTAATTGCCCCAGCCCAAAGAAGCTTAAAGAGAAAAGCAGAGCTGAGAAAACATAACTCTTTTTTTAAGAGGAAGGTCTTCTGAGAAAAAGAATTCTAGGCCCAAAATAGAGCAGCTGCAGGAAGGAAGCCCAGATCCCATACAAACTGAAAGGAAGAAGGAATGCTTTCCACAATAGTGAGAGAGAGGGAGACACAGGGAGTGGGGGGTTAACAAGCTGCCTTATAGACACAGAAGCATCAGGAAAAAACACATAAAACAGAGAGATTGTAAAGGAACAGATGTTTTTTTCATGGGCAGTAGTTCTAATATTACCCATAATCCGTCAAAAAAACTTTGCTGATACATCAGTGTTACCTCTGGGCAATTATGTAAATAACACTTGACATTACTGTATGTATTTGTTATACTGTAAAAAGTAAGCACCTTACCATTCTTTTTCTGTGGTTTGGTTACATTTACATTATAAAATTAAATTTCTGTTTCTGTAACACACTGTGTACAAAATGCATTTACTTTGGAACAATGCCGAAATGTAAAACATGATATTTAATAGAGTAAATCTAGGCAAGGAGGAGGATGTTTTCAAAGTCATTTCAACTGGTGTTAGATTCATACACTCACTTAGATAGTACAGTGATGGCTGTAGAAAACTTTTACATAGACATCCTCAGTAGGCTTTATTCTGAGTTTACCTCTGTGATTTTGTTGGTGCCCTGAGAAATCCACTCATTTCCTCCTCCTTAATCCCCTGCATTTTTTGCCTTTCCCATCTGTGATGATCAATGTTTCAGCCACTATCCTTCTGCCTAGGGAGAACTAGACTTCAATGCCAACCCTTAATTGGTGAGCAGAGCTGCTGTTAAGTAATACAAAGTGCTCACACATCTTGAGGTTATGGGCTTGATACTGCAGTCAGTGAATGGAACTCCTGTCAACTACACAGAGCAAGAAAAAGCTCAGGTTTTATGTCTGTTGCAACAGAAGCAGTCAAACCTCTGTGTACTTGGGGAACAAGAGACCAGAACTCAAAGTTGCTCTCCTTCATGGTAGTGGGCTGCATCTCCTTCAACACATATGGAACACTAACATGAGGCTTAAACAGGAAATAAATATGACAAATAGCTCCTATTTATTAGTATAGGTTTCCTTAATGTAGCAGAAACATTTTGATTAATTAGTAAAGCAAGAAAATATACCCTTTTGAGTACTGTAATCATTAAAGACTATGATATTATAGAAGTTATTGTTTGAAATAAACATTTTACTTATAATACAATTTATACAAAACTGTCAGTTTTTGATATCCTTTTTGGGTTAAAGAACTAATAATAATAAATATCTGGTTTCAGGGCAGGGTGATTAACTGGAATCGACTCTTTCCTCCTTTACGTCGTAGACATAATGCAAATTATCAAGATAATGGCCAGTCTGAGCAAGAGGCACATCCACCTGCTGAGGTTTCTGAGGAACAGGTAAATATTTTTGTATTTTAAAACATAATTTAAATGGATGAGGGGTTGGCTACGTGTACTATTTATCATAATCTGTAACCTGTGGTAACCTTCTATACAGTTAATATGTTGGTAGCTCAAACTAGAATACTAAATGACAGTTACAACATGAAGACAGATTGAACTAATGCAATTGCATTTATGGATTAGAGCTGCAAATTTATTTTAGAATTTCTGGCTTTGTATATAGCTTTTTTTTTTAAAAACAACCAGCTAGTTTTACTATTAAAATATGGTAAACAAATGGAGACTGGCAAATAGTTTGCATTATTCATGTTGAATATGGGTGGAGCTGTTATTATGGCAGTTTTGATTCTTTCATTGAGTTTGCCCTCTAAAGTTTCCACACTCCATCATATATACACATCAAGCCACATAAATAACACAAATAAAAATTTTATGCCAGCTGTGAATGGCTACACATGCGCAATATAAAACTCAGTAAATACAGTTCTGTTTCATTAACATAAGACAGGAATTGCTATGTTCTCTTCCTGCCTATTGGACCAATCTCCAATGAAAAAGTAAGAACTGGTTGTATTGCATTCACCAGTTTTTAGTTCCCTCTTCCCCAGTGTCCGGACATGGTGCTGCTGCTTTCTTTAGCTCCCAGTGCCTCCTGCAGGCTGTCAGACTGCCTCTGTGGGTCTTCCATGGCTTAGCCTTCTGGATGGGTCAGTTCAAACCCCTTCTGGGGTACAACAAAGTCAAATAGAAGAAGTACCTGACCGTTCTGGGCCATTATAAATAAAATAGTTTCTTTACCCTGCTTGGGTTTAACTCCCTTTCCAGAAATAAATCAGCAAGGTTACTCGTGTCACTGATCATGGCCAGCAATAGGCCCTGACCTGACCTGGTTCCTTTGGCTATTGGCCTAGGGAGCATCTCTCCTCACTCCACAAGCTCCAGCCCAGAACTGCCTTGGTAGTAGCAGGTAGCTAGCTTTATTTCAGCCTGCTGGGCCTTGATTGGCTGTTGCTGATCCTTGCCCTTCTAGTTGCTGGAGGACCAGATCTCAGTGGTTCCCAAAATGGCTGCTCCTGGGATGCTTCTCTAAGCAAGCCCAGAGGCATAGGCACCAACTCTGTGCGTGCTTCCGAGCTGTTTGGCGGCTTGGGGATGGCAGAGAGCAGTGAGCAGTGGGTGGGCAAAGGCCTCAGGGAGGGGCTGGAGTGGGGGCCGGAAGAGGCGGAGCAAGGGCAGGGCCTTGGGGGCGGGAGGTGGAGTGAGGGTGGGGCCTCGGGGGAGTGGGGCGGGAAGAGGTGGAGAGAAGGCGGGGTCTTGGGGGAAGGGGCGAGGTGGGAGCAGGGCTTTGGGGCAGAGTGGGGGTTGAGCACTTCCTGGGAAACATAAAAGTTGGTGCCTATGCCCAGAGGTCTAATAATTGTTGCCCTTTTCCTCTCAGAAAGCTTTTTCCTGGGGTGGATGTAGCAGAGCAGTGGATGCTCCAGCAGGGGGTCACAAAGACCTGTTAAACCCCATCTAGGGTGACCAGACGTCCTGATCAATATTACGGGTTTTTCTTATATAGGCAACTATTTCACACACACACACACACACACACACACCCAATCTGGGGGGGAAAAAGTATCCTGATTTTTCACACTTGCTATCTGGTCACCTTTCCCTGCACAGGGACTTTTAGATGCCGCTGGTTAGGAAATCTAGTTTGATGTGAGACTATTGTTGCAAAGATGTCAAAAGTAGCATAATTCATTCTTCCCATAAAGATGAGACGTAAACGTTGGATTTAAAAGGGAAACCCACACAAAAATGATCAGTATCCTATTTGACAACCTGACAATGTATTAGTTTTCAAAACCTTTAGTAATATATGCATAGATTAAATCAGAGAAAAAGATTTTTGAAATCCAGGATAAATGTTACAATATTGAAAGTACTACCAAAAAAACAAAATGCAGCTTTCTTGCCAACGTCCAGTCAAAACTATGTTCAGAATATGCACAGTCTACGTTTCCAGATACAAATGCTAGATTCACTCTATTTACACTATTTAACATTTTTATCAATGACCTGAAGAAAACATAAAATTATTACTGATAAAGTTTTCAGACAGCATAAAGGTTGGGGAAGTGATCAGTAATGAAGAGGACAGGTCTGGATAACTTTGTAAACTGGGCACAAGCAAATAATTTGCACTTTCATATGGCTAAAAATACACATCTAGGAACAAAGACTGTAGGCCGTACTACCATGATGGCAGGTCCTGGGAAGCAGTAACTTTGAAAAAATTGGGGAGTCATGGTGGATAATCAGCTGAACATGAGCTCCCAGTGCAACACAGTGGCCAAAAGGGCTTGATGTGATTGTTAGATGCATAAGCAGGGGAATATCGAGTAGGAGGAAAGAGGTTATTTTTACCTCTGTATTTGGCACTGTGGGGACTGCTGTTGAAATGCAGTGTGCAGTTCTGGGGCCCACAATTCAAGAAGGAGGTTGATAAATTGGAGGGATTCAGAGAAGAGCCATAAGAATGATTAAAAGATTAGATGGTGATACAGTAGATTCAAGGAGCTCCATCTATTTAGTTTAACAAAGAGAAAGTTAAGCAGTGACTAGATACAAATATTTGTTAAAGACCTCTTCAGTCTAACAGAAATGTATAACAAAATCCAATGGCTGGAAGTTGAAATAAGACAAATTCAGACTAGAAATAAGACATAAATATTTAAAATGAGGGTAATTAACTATTGGAACAACTTACCAAGGGTCATGGTGGATTCTTTATCACTGGCAATTTTTAAATCAAGATTGGATTTTTTTTGTTAAAATATGCTCTAGTTAAAAAGGAATTATTTTGGGGAAGTTCTGTGGCCTGTGTTATACATAAGGTCAGACTAGGGACCACAATGTCCCTTGGAAATCTATTAATCTTGTGACGCAGGAAAATGCATATTTGCCGTTGTGCCCTAGAGGGAACAGGCAGTTGTATTGATATCTACCCTTCTCTCGATGTTTCCTTTTGGGGAAGGGCAGTTTTAATCTTCACTGCAGGCTTCATTAGGGACCTGCCAGTGGAGGAGGAAGAATCGAAGTATCTCCCAGCCTGCTCATGGCTGCCCACTTCTGGGGCTATGGTGTCTGGTTTCAGACCTTATCCCCCAGTAAGGGGGTAATAGTAAGTGCTTCTGCTGCCATGACTACTTGGTGAATTTTGCCAAAAATTTTAATTTACTGTCAGCTGTGATTGGAATAAAAATAAAACTATTTCAAAAGAAATCAGTCAGATTTTCACTTATAACTAAACACAATTAAAAAAAAATGTAGGTTTTACAATTACTCCGGCTTGAAATTGGTATGATTTATCCATTTGGGTATTGAAGCTGGCACACTGTGTTATAACATAAAACAAAATTGGATTTAAATGCAGTACTGTTTGAGTCAGCATGTATAAAAGAAAGTTGGCATGCAGACAAAAAGTTAACCATCAAAATTATATTGTAACATGTGAAAGATGCTTCTCAAGTACCTACTGACCACTGGAATTACTGTTTTATTGCAAACTGTATTTTCTCAACTGCAGTAATGTTTTCTGGCTTATCCAACCATACCAGATCAGATAAGTATTTGATATTTAAAAAAAAAAGATATACCATTGCACAGAGTGTTCAGTAATAAACCGAACGGTTTTGCTGCTATATGATAACTCTAAAAGGAAAAATGAATAAAACTGTGATTAAAGGTGTTTCTTTCTATTTCTCTTACAGGTTGCACGACTTATGGAAATGGGATTTTCCAGGGTAGATGCTTTGGAAGCTCTGAGAGCTTCAAATAATGACCTTAATGTAGCTACCAACTTCCTACTGCAGCACTGATGATTGTCTGTGATGAAAAACTTTAGTTGATATGTTTATCTACCATCAGCAAGAGGATCAAAGCCACCTGCTGGATAGACTCATAAAGAGCAAAAGCCAAGAAGAAGAAATGTCTACTATACGCGATGTTTCAAAGTAGTGTTAATGGATGACACTGACTGTTCCTAAACCCCCAAATAAAGTGGTGGTTACTGTTCTGGTTATTCTTTAAAAGTAACTTTTATCTCTATATGTTATATGATATCATCAAAATTTATTTTAAAAAATTTGGTGTCTTTCTCTTTTAAATCAGTATTAGACATATTATCATTCCTAATAACTAGGAAATACAGAAGCAACTCAAACTACTGCAAACAGTTAAATTTACCTATCAGGAAAAATTACATTTCTATTTTTTTCTCAGTTTCTTTGCTCTAAAACTGTAACTCTACATTATTTTACAATATTTTGATTTTTGATCACAGTAATGAGAAAATGTTCAGATGTGGTGGGTAATGTCATTTCCATAAAGAATTATGGGACTAACATGTCATTCATCAATAAGTTTTATTAATGTTTGTAATATTTTATCTCTCTCAAAATCCTTTTTAAATAAAAGTTGTAATTCAGTACCATAATTCATGTAGGATACCAGAACTGTTATGTGCGTATTGCAGGTTACATTAAGTGACTGGTATAAATTTAAACTATACAAATTGTGTAGATGACTTTACAGATCAGACAGCATGAAAATACTTGAATGGAAGCAGTAAAAGGGAATTTGCTGATTACAATAAAATCAGGCCTGACATCATTAATCTGATTTGGGAACATTTCCATGGTAACATGATGGATGTGTTTAGTATGCTGTGTGTTAGTTTTGGTTTTTTGAGCAGCCTATACATTTCTTTAAAAGAAAAATACAAACCAGGCAGAGGAAAAGACGGTTCTTCTGGTTCTGTCTGGTCTTAGTTTTCCGCTGTTATAGATACAGACCATCCTCGGTGTACTGTTGGAGGCTGCACTTAATGTCAGTCACTGACTGGAAGGCTAGCCTTTGGAAGGATTGACTCAAGCCAACCGGAGTCTAATGGCAGGGGAGCAAGAAATGGGTTTTAGAGTTTAAAATGATAAATCTACCTATTTCACCTCTTTTTCAGAAGTGCTGTGCCTCCCCAGTTTGGGAGTTTCTGGGTACTCAGCACCTCTGCAAATCAAGCCAGTTATTATGGAGGTGCCAGTTCTGGCTCCATAATTAAAGTTAAGTTGAGTTTTGCACTTACATGTTACACATGTATATATTATACATTTATTTTATATATGTGCATGGTATATGTATTATACATATATGATTGAAAACAGGACTGAAGATGTCAGGGAGAATGAAGTGGGAGGAGTAAGAAGTTGGAAGGAAAGAAGGGAACAGAGGGGAGAGAGAGGAGAGAGAACTATATTTTAGAAATCAAAATGAGGGGATAATTGAGATTTCTAAAAATGGCAGCTTTACTGTATTCTGCAAAATGAACAGAAAATAACATCAGATTTTGTTCACGTTTAGGTACATAATGTACTTACAATAATACAGATTATTGTGCTCATGTCTTAATTTCCATTGGACTGGTTAAGAGATTTGAAATGAGAGACCATTATTTTAGCTTGTGAACATTGTAACGTGAGGTATTTGCATGCAGCTACAGTCTTTTTGTAGACTCTTCCTGCATTTTTAAGTGAAAGATTGTTTTGTTCACATAAAGATGACTGACATTTTTCCTGCATGGGTTAAGGAGATGTCTGGAGTCAGTTAAGTCTGAAAACTGACTGGATCACAAAGAGAAGCCCTGGAACCTTAAAAAGAATCTGTTCAAAAATGGTATGATTATTTGCAGCTCAGTTAAAACTTTTGGAGTACACGTCTAAGAGGTCATACTTTTTTATTTTAAAATACGTGTAAAGTCTCCCCATCACTATCAGAATAATTGTATAACAGGTGGCCATAGAGGGTGATAAATAATTACAGATAGAATCAGTTACCCATGTACAGAATTATTTATTTATATCTTACCCAGTAAAAGTAAAAAATTAAATATAACAGATACACTTCCAGATACTGTCCTACTATAGAAACAAGGGCCAATAGAGCTGCATCCAGATTCCATACAGATTTTACACTTAGAATTTGCAAGTATGTAATTAAGAGTGCAATTCAGGACATTACTAGAGTATTTGCAGATTAATATTCTGTAGGTCTAAATATTTTATTTTTGTTATTTTGTATTGCAATGGTATTCAGGTGTCCCAGTTCAGACGTAGGCCCATTGTGGTAGGCACTCTAAGAATGTACAAACATATTGGATGAAATCCTAGCCTCACTGAAGTCAACGGCAAAACTCCCATTTGACTTCAAAGGGGCCAGATTTCACCCATGGTCCCTGTCTTGAAATGCTTGCAGTCTTCTAGAGTCTTCAGACAAAAACTTTTTGTTCTTTTTGATCCCAGACACTACTGAAGAAGTTTTCAAGGTGATTCATTCAGCAAAGTGGGACTTGTAGAAATTAGAGCTGGAAAAAATCTGTTGGGTCACCTGCTGTAGACCATCTCCATGATGTATGTGCAAGATAGTTCCTTAGAGCATATTTACTAGTGCTTTGTCCAGTCTAATTTTAAATGTCTCAGAAATGGAATTGGTTTCCATGTGGAGTGCACTCCAGACATTTTTTGAAGAGGCAAAAGAAAGTGTCTGCCCTTTCCCTTTAGCAGAATACAAATCAGTTTTCTATAGGGAAAGGCTGCAAGGATGAAATCCGGGCCCTGTTGAAGTCAGTGGCAAAATTGTCATTGACTTTATTAAAGCCATAGTCTCACCCGGAGGATATGTCTTCACTGCAGCTGAGAGCCTCCCAGCCCAGGTAGACAGACTTGCACTAGATTCACTTGAGCTAGCATGCTAAAAATAGCAGGGTGGACATGGCTCTGGCAGAGATGGGCTAGCCACCCGAGCTCAGACCCAGGTTGTTGGGTGGGTTGGGAGCCTGAGTGCTGTCCAAGCCTCGATGTCCATGCTGCTGCTGTTAGTGCACCAACTTGAGTCCTGCTAACATGAGTCCACCACCTGGGCTAGGAGGCTTTCTCTCAGCTGCAGTATAGACCTATAGACTAAGAGTCTCAAGTAGTGGTTGCTATTACAGATTTCAATAAGGCTAAGAACATTCTTTAATGATGAAGCTTCTGTTGAGCAGAATAATTTATCAGAGTGAGATCTTTAATTGTTGTATGGTATTTGGGAAATGCACAGAGCTTTCCATGGGATGGCTGCAGAACTCTACAGTGGGAACGGCAGGTTCCCAGGGTCTTCCCTTTCTTTTAAGGTGCAATATGGTGGAGCTCTTTACAGAAGACATTGTACTTGTCAGAAATGTCCTCCTCTCACAGCATAGGGGACAGAGATTGCTACCTCTCAAATGATTAAATTTACAGTAACATTTAGCTTCTTATATACATAGATGTGGTATATAGTGCCTATTGATGCCTTAAGTAACTAATTATTTAAGCAAAAGATTATGTGCACTTATTTTTGTACAAAAACAAGCAAAATACATCCTAGGAGTGTCGAGACACTTGGCAAAATACTCAGCCATCTTACATGTGGTTATGATGCTGTATATAACTCTGGAAAGTCTCATTGTGGCTATAATATGGGTTTGTTAAAAGAAAATTAAAAAGATACATTCCAGGAATCCTCTCTCTTTTAGTGCGTGTGTGCATTTATTGTACTTATGTTTAACTATATATCAGAGGTGTCCAAACTTTACAGCACTAGGAACCACGATTGGCACTTTGCAATCTAGTTTGTCTATGAATATGCACAATATTTTTTTGTATTTGTACCTATCTTGATAAATGAATAGAAATCAATTGCCAGTTCACTAGAGAGAAAAATCTGGTATTGATTAGCTTGATTTTACAATATAATTTCAGGGAGAGATGGCCCTTGTGTAAGGGGACACTAAAACTCAGTGGTGGTGTTTTGGTTGGCTAGCTCCCAGTACCAAAAGAAAGGGGAAGGGATCAATGGGAAATCAGAACCCTGAGACTGACAGTCCCCAGGAACAATGGGGAGAGGTCAATGCTTCAGGTCACTCTGATTGACAGGGCGGGCAGGCTAATCAGAATCAGGAGACAAGGGGGGTCCTGTCCTCCGTGTGAGCTGGAATTGCCTGGGGCAGACAGAGTGGGGCCGAACTAAGGAGAAAGCAGGGGCCCAAGCTGAGCTGGGGAGCAGAGCCGTGCCAGCCAGAGGGGCCAGAAAATGAGCCCTGGGAGCAGAGTCACAGAAGCAGCCCACAGAGCAGACCTGTGCTGGAAGAAGAGCTGTAGAAATCAGAGCCAGAGGGGCCAGAGAAGCAGCCCAGGGAGCTGGAGGCAGAGCAGCAGCAGAGCTGAGGCAGAGTGGAGCTGGAGCTGAGGCGGGCTGGGGCTGGAGCAGTCCAGAGCCGGGTGTGGTGAGCAGCTGGGGAAAGCGAGGGTAATCCTGCACAGCAGGCCCAGCGCAGGGAGATGCCCCCAACCAAGACGCCTGGCAGGCCAGACTTGGAGGGGGATCATAACCCCGATGGGTGGGGGCAACGCTGGTAAGAAGGGCCCTGCCACCTAGAGCCTGAGGGCGCGTGGCCACCAACAGAGCAAGTGTCCGACCCGCAGCATCCCTGCAGTACAGCCAGGGTCTGAGAAGAAGGCCTGGTACTTGTGACAAACAGACTGAACTTCCCTTACATTCCAGAGACGCTGGTTGTGATGTCCCCATGCCAAAGAGGGGTGTTCTGTATTTTCCTTTAACCTTTCCCATTTTTTCCTTATTTTTAAAATTTGATTGCTGTGTAATAAATTGTATTTGCTTTGAACTGTATGTAATGATCAATGGGTCAGGGAAGCATCCAGTGTGGAGAGAGCATCCCGGAGTGGGGACACCCTAGCCCATGCCCTAAGTGGCCATGACAAGGCTGGGGGTCGAGCTCCCCAGGAGTCCTGGGCCCAGCCTTGTTGGGGTTATGAGGACTCTGCCACACAGGAGAGTGGAAGGGGAGCCCTCGAGGTCAGGCAGGCCTCAGGGTAAAGGAAGTGGGAGCGAGGACTCAGATCCTTTCGCTAGCCCACTTCACCGGGTAGTGTATAAGCCAGGAAAGTTCCCCACAATAGCGGGACCATTCTCCCTCTTACACTTGGACTAATATTTTATTAGAGTCCATCAAGAATTTTTCAACAAAACATTTTTCCTCAAGTTAGATTTGTCAAAACCAAAACTTTTTGCAGGGAAGAGTCAGTTTAACACATTTCCCATTTAAAAAGTCATTTGTAAAGGAAAGTTTCAAAAGTGTCAAAATACCCCATTTCAAAATTTTCCAAATGAAAAGTTCAATTTTTTGTTCAAGATCACATTTTGTTTTTAAATTTAAGTGATTTGTATTAAAAAATAAAGTTAAAAATATGAAAAGGTCAAAATTGAAACATTACATTTCAAATTGATAGAAATGAAACATTTTGTTGGCCCCAAATTTATTTATTCTAGTTTCTGAACATTTTCATGATTTTGACTTTTTCTCATCCCAATTGGGACAAAAAGCTTTTAAATCTCAAATTTTTTTCACAATGGGACAAGAATTTCCCATCAAGCTCTTTATTTCATACATTTTCAGTTATCTGGTAGTAGTTGGTATATTAGTGTTTATTGTATACATTAACACTTCAAGTTTACTTTTTGTAAGGATTAAATTATAAAATGTATTTTAGCTTTAGAAAATGGATTTCTACTCTTGGTCTAAAGAGTTGCAGCCAAATATTTCTCATTTTGAAAACTGCTTTGATTGTGGTTGCAAAATCAAACAGCTGAAGACCTCAAAGTACAGACCCTTATTCAAAGACAAGCTATTAAATTACAGAAGTTCAAAGCTAAATCTTGTTTGTCAATAAAAATTGGTAAGATGTAACACTGTGGCTAATTCAGTGTTCAAGAGGAGCCCTCTCTTGTTAATTCAGAGATGTCTGACAGAGGAATAAGAACCAGGAGTACTTGTGGCACCTTAGGGTACGTCTACACTTACTTCCTGGTTCGGCGGCAGGCAATCGATCTTCTGGGATCGATTTATCGCGTCTTGTCTAGACGCGATAAATCTATCCCGGATCGATCCCGGAAGTGCTCGCCGTCGACGCCGGTACTCCAGCTCGGCGAGAGGAGTATGCGGCATCAACGGGGGAGCCTGCCTGCCGCGTCTGGACCCGCGGTAAGTTCGGACTAAGGTACTTCGAATTCAGCTACGTTATTAATGTAGCTGAATTTGCGTACCTTAGTCCGAAGTGGGGGGTTAGTGTGGACCAGGCCTTAGAGACTAACAAATTTATTTGGGCATAAGCTTTCGTGGGCTAAAACCCACTTCATCAGATGCATGGAGTGGAAAATACAGTAGGAAGATATATATATACAGAGAAAATGAAAAAATGGGGGTTGCCATACCAACTCTAACAAGGATAATAAATTAAGGTGGACTATTATCAGCAGGAGAAAAAAAACTTTTGTAGTGATAATCAGGATGGCCCATTTCAAACAGTTGACAAGAAGGTGTGAGTAACAGTAAGGGAAAATTAGCATGGGGGAATAGTTTTTAGTTTGTGTAATGACCCATCCACTCCTAGTCCTTATTCAAGTCTAATTTAATTGTGTCCAGTTTGCACATTAATTCCAGTGCTGCAGTTTCTTGTTGGAGTCTGTTTTTTAAATTTTTTCGTTGAAGAATTGCGACTTTTAGGTCTGTAATTCAGTGTCCGGGGAGGTTGAAGTGTTCTCCGACTGGTTTTTTAATGTTATAATTCTTGATCTCTGGTTTGTGTCCATTTATTCTTTTGTGTGGAGACTGTCTGGTTTGGCCAATGTACATGGCAGAGGGGCATTGCTGGCACATGATGGCATATATCACATTGGTAGATGTGCAGGTGAATGAGCCCCTGATGGTGTGGCTGATATGGTTAGGTTCTATGATGGTGTCCCTTGAATAGATATGTGGACAGAGTTGGCAACAGGCTTTGTTGCAAGGATAGGTTCCTGGCTTAGTGTTTTTGTTCTGTGGTGTGTGGTTGCTGGTGAGTATTTGCTTCAGTTTGGGGGGCTGCCTGTAAGCAAGGACTGGCCTGTCTCCCAAGATCTGTGAGAGTGAGGGATCGTCCTTCAGGATAGGTTATAGATCCTTGATGATGCGCTGGAGAGGTTTTAGTTGGGGGCTGAAGGTGACGGCTAGTGGCGTTATGTTACTTTATTTGTTGGGCCTGTCCTGTAGTAGGTGACTTCTGGGTACTCTTCTGGCTCTGTCAATCTGTTTCTTCACTTCAGCAGGTGGGTATTGTAGTTTTTAAGAACGCTTGATAGAGATCTTGTAGGTGTTTGTCTTTGTCTGAGGGATTGGAGCAAATGCGGTTGTATCTTAGAGCTTGGCTGTAGACAGTGGATCGTGTGATGTGGCCTGGATGAAAGCTAGAGGCATGTAGGTAAGTATAGTGGTCAGTAGGTTTCCGGTATAGGGTGGTGTTTATGTGACCATCGCTTATTAGCACTGTAGTGTCCAGGAAGTGGATCTCTTGTGTGGACTGGTCCAGGCTGAGGTTGATGGTGGAATGGAAATTGTTGAAATCATGGTGGAATTCCTCAAGGGCTTCTTTTCCATGGGTCCAGATGATGAAGATGTCATCAATGTAGCACAAGTAGAGTAGAGGCGTTAGAGGACGAGAGCTGAGGAAGCGTTGTTCTAAGTCAGCCATAAAAATGTTGGCAGCAAACTGTGGGGTCATGCGGGTACCCATAGCAGTGCCGCTGACTTGAAGGTATATATTGTCCCCAAATGTGAAATAGTTGTGGGTGAGGACAAAGTCACAAAGTTCAGTCACCATGTTTGCTGTGACATTACTGGGGATGCTGTTCCTGATGGGTCGTAGTCCATCTTTGTGTGGAATGTTGGTGTAGAGAGCTTCTACATCCATGGTGCCCAGGATGGTGTTTTCTGGAAGA